TCCAAATCCATATAGCAACACAACACAAAGAAGATCTATTTACCTCAGCCGAAGCGAAAAACCATCTCACTTGGACCAGCAGCACGAACGCCATCAACAACAACCACAAACGAGAGCCTTAGCAGAGCCCGAGGAAATCCATTCCTTTGATGAGATCCCTTTTCGCGACTCGGGCTGAAGGTAAAGGGGAAGACGAAGAGTCTAGAAGAAATCGCATCTTCTCACTAAACAACAGATGCGAATGAAAGAAATGAAACCCTAGACATTATACGCGACATTCGTTGGACCTATTATGTTCGGATCGATCCTTATTCCCTACGACTGGACGGATTCATGTGGGTCAACTGGGCCGTGTACACATTCCCTTTCTCCCTCTTATTTCTCCCCCGTTCGTTTTTTTCTACTCTTACATGTACTTTTCACCCTATTCAATAAAAAAAAAATACATTGGAAAAAAACATATAGAACCGTATAACTCCTATCAGGGGAATTAAACATAGTTAGTCCTATTATGGCTTTATAAGTATGTTTTAGTCATATTATGGACAATTTTTTCATTAGTTTTAAGATCAACACTTTTACTTGTAGTTTAATTTAATTGAGCATTAGTTATGCAATGGTTTTTTTGTCATGCTTCTAGGAAGAGCTTTTTATCAAAATCATGAGAAATTAATTTTACATACTTTAACTCCTCCAATATCCCAAGATATAATATTACAATGTGTTAATATGATGTCATGAAAGAACAAGTTGGTAAAACTGATGACCTTAATAAAATAAAAGTTCGTAAAAAACGTATGCACTAGTATACTTATGTTTCATTATTTTAGACAAATTATAAACTCTTTATTTGCTTGTGGCACTTTATTTGCTAATTTGCTTGTGACATGCAATTTTATCTGCTTCTATGTTGTGCATTCATTAATAATACTAGATTCTCCAAATAAAAACAAATAACGTGTAATTTTAATTTCTTTCACAACTTGAATCAGGGGAAGAAAGGAGAAAACATGGGCTAAAAAAAGTAAATCTTCGTTAAATATAAAATGTTAAATACCTCTTGAAAGTAGAACATTGCCAATGAAAATGTATGAGGGAGGCCTAAAAATCTAAAAAACAAGTTTTTGTGAGGGCAGTCCAGTGCACGAAGGCATCCCACAAGGCTAGGGTCTCGGGAAAGGTTCCACCACAAGGGAGTATAAGGGGTAAGTCTCCTCCTGTCAAATTTTGAATAGAGATCGCTCCCAAGACTTGAACCCATAACTTCTCGATGCCCTAAGGTAGGGGTGGATTCGGTTCGGGCCACCCGGCCCGTGACCCGGCTCGGCCCGCTACTGTGTGGGCCCGGGACCGGCCCGGTCTGGCGGTCCGGGACCGGGTGTAGACCCGAACCGGTGGGGATGGGCGGGGCGGGCTCGGTTCCGGAAATAGTTGACCCGGCCCGGCCGGGTCGGGCCCGGGTCCGGGTCCAACGGTCATTTTTTTAAAAAAAATGTTTTGGCCAAAATAGCCGTTGGGGTGGGCTGGGGACAACCCAAACGGCTATATAGCCGTTGGGTGGGGTGCAGGGGAGTCCAGGGGGTTTGGGGGTGGGGTGGAGTAAAAAAACCTATAAATACTCCTAATCTTAAACATTTTTTCATATCTCTTCTCCAATTCTTCCTAAATCCTATTCTTAACTCTCTAATTCTCTTATTCTCCAATATATTATATTTATTATTTATATATCTACTTTATATTAATTATCTACTTATAATTTATAAATACATACATTATAATATTATATTACTTATATTTGTTATCTAATTATATATTACTTATACATTTATTATATCTATTAATATAGTTGGAATTATATCTAATTAATTTGAAGTCATTCAATTACTCCCATCCGAAAGACCGAAAGTCCGAAAGAGGTACGAAATCATTCTATTATTTACACTTGTTTAATTTTGTATTAACGTTACTTGAAAAAAAAACTAGAATTAATTTGATTAAAGTAAACTTTAAAATACTAATTTGCTATAACTCGAATTAATAGTTAGATTAATAGTTAATTACTTTAATACAATTTTTTATTAATTGCTATATTTGACTCTAGTTTAAAAAAATAGTTAATTCTCATTATAGTTAAAGTTAAAGTATATTAATTTCATTGTTAGTAAAAAAATAGGTTGTACACAAAACTAGTTAATTCACTAGTTAATTTGATTAAAGTAAACTTTAAATACTAATTTGCTATAACTCCAATTTTTTATTAATATATTTTTATTAAAATATTTGTTGCAATTTAATATTTGTTACATTTTTTAGATGGATCGTCCTAGATATTCGGTTGATATGGGTAACCTCGAGCGCAACCGAACGAAAGAGCCTGGGAGGAAGATATCCCGCAAAGGTAAATCACATATCGGCTCTTCATCTCAAAGTCGAGATGATTTTGATACGGGTTACGCAAGGAGGGATGTGGATGCGATGACCGACGAACAACTAGAACAAGAATTGCACCGACATAATTCCCGCTTTTTTCAAGACCCACCGAGGACCATTGACGAAGAAGAGCTTGAGGACGAGGACGACGATGTGGAGGAAGTAATTCCGGAGAGCCACGAGGAGGAGGAGGAGGAGGGTGGCGGCAGCCATGACGCCGACGAGCCTGCCTCATCCCAAAGAGGTACGAAAAAAGTAAATCTGAACTAATGGCTAATAATTTTTCTAAGTGGAAGGACCCGAACACCGGGAATTGGACCGCAACTTGCAATTGGTGCAAGAAAAACTATAGCTTGGGGATTTCCGGCGGATACGGATCCGCCACAAGACATCTTAAGACCAAACACCCGGTGGAGTATGCAAAATTAGGCGGCGGAACGGGGAAGAAAACTCAAATATCGAGGTTTGCAAATAACCAACAAGCTTTTGGTAATTTCTCATACAATGATGCACAAAATTTGACCGGTATGGCTAACTTACTTGTTGAAGAAAATTTGCCTTATTTGTTTTCTGAAAGTCTTGCTTTTAGTGATTATGCACAAACTTGTTTAAATCCGCAATATAGAGGTTATAGTCGCAAAACGGTTAAGAAAGAAATTTCAAGGCTTTATGGTGCGGAAAAGGTAAGGTTACAAAATTATTTTGCAAACTTTGATGGGCGTGTTACTGTATATTCTGACATATGAGAGGATACTTATCATAATTTACCTTATTTGTGTCTGACTGTACATTATATTGATAATGATTGGCATATGCATAAACGTGTTCTTGCTTTCCGTGAATTTAATGATCGTCACACCGCTGAACATATTTATATTTTGATTGAGCGTATTTTAATTGAGTATAATTTAATTGATAAGGTGTTTGCTATTGGTTTTGATAATGCTACTAATAATACTGCTGCTATTCCTAGATTGCGTGAATTGTGTGGTTCTACTTCTTTGATGGGTAGATTTTTTCATCAACGATATGCATGTCATGTTCTAAATTTATGTGTGCAAGATGGTCTAAAAGCGTTGGGAGCATCGTTGGAGGTAGTCAAGGGGGGGATTAGACGTATTTGGGGTAATGGATAACTTAGGAAAAAATGACATGATTATTTGATAGAAAGAGGTGAGAAATGTGTGACTTTTCCTAAAGATTTGTCTATTCGTTGGATTAGTACCTATAAGTTAATTGGAGTTCTTCTTAGATATAAACAACATTTTCCTGCTTTTATGAAACAATATGATAACTATATTATAAACTCGGCTGAGATCGACACCTGTGAAAAAAATTGTAATGCTTTGACATATTTTAATAATGCAACTGAAACTTTTAGTCATGTTTATAAACCTACCTCAAACCAATTTATTCGTGAAGCTGTTAATCTCGTTGGTGCTTTTTCAAATTTTGAGAATGCTGATTATGTGAGTTATTTTGCTAGTTTTATGAAGGAAAAGTTTTTAAAATATTATTCACATATTCCTCATATTTATGGTATTGCATTTGTTCTCGATCCTCGTTTTAGACTTGGTTCTTTAGAAGAATGTTTGAATTATTATTATGCTGCTTTTTTTGGTCCATTGCCAATGTATGAGGACAACCCAATTGATCCGAAAAAATAATACAGCGAGGTTCGTTATATATTTTATGCATTATTTAATGAGTTTCATGCATAATATGGCAATGCACCCCCTCCCCCGACACAAACATCATCTAAAGGAAAATCAATTTTCAAATCTACATTTGTCAATCTTATTAAAAAACGAAATCAACTCCCGCTACGCAACAAAGCACAATTAATGAGATTTCTTTGTATTTAACATATGATGTTGATTTTGAAGAAGATGATGATTTGGACGTACTAAACTGGTGGAAGGGAAAAGAAAGAATGTTCCCGATTTTAGCAAAGATGGCTAAGCAAGTGCTATCAATGCCGATTTCAACGGTTGCTGTGGAACAAGAATTTAGTTCGGCCGGCAATGTCCTAACACAATGTAGAACGAGGTTGAGCGCAGAATCTCTTGAGATGCTTATATGCTACCACGATTGGTTGAAAGCGGCCCGTAGAGCTCAAGAAATTGACATCACCCCATCACAACACTTTATGGATGAATCTACAACCGAGGGTGGCTCTACCTATGTCGGAGATTCCGATTGAATGATTGATTAGTATTTCATGTTTTAATTTTACATTCAATTCTCAATTGTAACTTGTGAACTTGTAGTTCATATTTCAAATAAATGCACTTGAAGTTTGTTTTTAATACTTGTATAAAACTATAAAGTATAAAATATAAATTATTAAAAAAAAAATAACCGACCCGGCCCGGCCCGGCGGGTGGCCTGACCCGTGACCCAGGCGGGTGGCCCGGCCCGAACCGGACCCGTCCAACCCTCAGGCCGGTCCCGGGTCCATGTGATAAAAACCGGCGACCCGACCGGGCCGGCCCGAGTCCACCTCTACCCTAAGGCTCTTCATTCATAGAAGTATAAGAGTATCTAATATTTTTAATTATAGCATGTACTAATGGGCGGATGAAATATTATATTATTATTGTCTCAAGTTGCCAACTCCTTAATGGCCAAGCTATTTTAGCCATTTGAAACAATGGAAGATTATATTGCATAATACAACACATATCCGTACTTGAGTAATTGCAACACTTTCCAAAGTAATCACAATAACTATACTACCCTAGCACTTATCCTATTACCACGCTTAAATAATCCAACCAATCACCTCAAAATCTCAAATTATATTTCTACCCACCCACAAAATAGCCACCATCCCTTTTCTCCACTGTGCCAGTGCGCCTAAGCCTTTAAATCTATGAACTAAATCAGAAGCTCTTCTGGACAGAGATGGAGGAACATGAAGCCATATATAATACAACAACAACAACTAAGCCTTAATCCCAAAAGAATTTGGAGTCGGCTAACATGAATCGATCTATGATATCGATGCCAAAAAGAGAAGGCGGACAAGAAAAGGAAAAAAAGTAAGATAAAATGACTAAAATAAATAGGACATGGAGAATTGGTTTCATTCATTCCCTTTCATTCATTCCTTTTCTCCAACAGTCCAACTTCTACACATACAGTGATACAGACCTCTTTATTTCATTTCCATCTCTGTATTTTCTTCTCACGCTTTTAGAGGCCAATTCAAAATTTTGAATGTCGATGAGCTGAATCAGCAAACAAATTAAGAAACATACGTTTAGAATGAGCTTTCTCACCTTTGCTGAACTAATATAGTAGGCAATACTTTGGTTCAGGAAATTAAAACTAAACAACCGAAATTCAAATGATGTTAAAGAAATGGAGATAACTGAAACTAAAATATTGAAAAACAACCATTATTTGATCTTTGCGGAGAAGGTAAAACCAGAGAAGAAAAGCTGGGAAAGTGAGAAATTTTGTCAGCATGTCAGATGTGCTTTGTAAAGGTGTGAATTCGGAGAAAAAAGTCCGTGTATGTTTCTTAAATCTTGTGCCAACATGCAATGTTCATTTAAAACCGAACGGAGCAAAGTATATAAATAGATAGACAAAGAGTTGATTCAACAGGCACGCATATAATAATACGTAGTATGTAATATACTCCTCAACAGGCATGTCATATATACTGTACTATCTTTATATAAAAAAAATATTATAATATGTAATATTCGACTAAATATCAGGAATCTTCAACGCTTTCCAAACTGTGAGGGGTCCTGTCACCTAAAAGGATGTGATTCCGACCAAACTTACAAATCGCCAGCTGCATTTTCATCCCCTCACAAGCAAATATTTTTACAAGGAAAAATGGAATATAATCCCAAAATTCGATGCTAAAAACCAACAGGCACTGGTCTGCTACTTTCAGATTATCTCAGCATTGTTTTTTTTTAAAGAGCCACCCACTCACTCATCTTGTCCACCTCCACACGACAACAAGGATGATGATTGACACAACCATGCCGGTATACTTGATCCACTTATCAACGCGGTTTCTTCTTTCGATCAGTCTCAATACAGAATTCGATAGACCCAACGTGTTGAGAACATCCAGAGCTTTCCGTTGAGCATGCTGACGTGTTCAAAAATTCACAGGTGGAACAAAGGCAGTTCGGTCATTTTTGTAACCGCAAACATATCTTTGGTCTATGTTTCAAAGTGAAAATAATAGGGAAAGGGTGGAAAATAGTAGGGAACGTGTGGAAAACAAAGAAAATAGTTTTATCAATGTCAATTTTTTTCAGTTTTTTAGATTTTAAAACGTATATGATATATTGTACATTGAACTAAAAAATAATCACACTTGTTATAATCATGCTGATTTTGTAATTGCCAACTAACAACTGAAAACAATTTTTCTGGTTCTCAGAATTTTGTTGTTGGTTTTCAAGAAAACAGAGAGGAGAACAGAAAATGTACCAAACGAGGCCTAAATATTTGGTTTTGCATTGAATAAATACGGGAGAAAATCAAACCTGTTTTGTTCTTTTCTGCCAAATTTCCTCTATATTCATTAAGACGTTTTCCGAGTTCCAAATAGACTCTTAACCAATGAAACCAAATGCTTAAAGAGAAACCCAAAGCCTAAATCAATGACCCCCATTGTCAAACATTTCATATTCCTGTGATACAGGAGAGTCAGGGTACACAACACACATTGTCAGACATTTCCTAGTCCTGTGATGCAGGAAAGTTGGGATGCAGACACATGCATTTGTGATCCCATGAAGCAATACAGGAAGGCAGGAAGCCATAAAGGCAAATGAATGTTGCAACTAAGGCTCGGGCTTTGTTTGTTTCTTGGAATATATTTTCTGAATTTGCCTATGCTTGGCACTGGAAAACATATCCCTGAACGAAAATACTTACTTTGAATCTTTGATATTTTGTGAATGAATGAATGCCTCATTCTTAAAGAGGAACTCCGCTTGAAAAAAAATCATTTTTCCTGTTTATACATAAAAAATTATAGAGAACATTTTCCACAACTTTATTTTCTGCAGCTAAATAGGGAGGCAGAGCTTAAGTAGTCATCTAGCTCATCAGAATATTCCTAAATTTAAAATATCCATCGAGTATTAAAAAAAACTACATGGAGGACTGAGTATTATATGAGAATGCATACAAGCAAACAAACAAACCATACATGATGTGTGTGTGTGTTTGATGGTAGTGGATGTGAGAAGGGGTTGGGGGAAGATACAAGTAAATACCTTTAATCTGTCCCTTTGCTCGCTGTATTTAGATAGAATAGCAGTACCAGTTGCCAAAGCTTCTTCCACCATCTTTGAAGAGCTTCGGACAGACTGCACTGCTTGTGCTTCCTCATCAAAAATCCGAAGAACGTGAGATGAACTTCCATTCTAAGATATAAAATCAGATACAGTTATGCATGATCCTGACTACAAAAGAACTGATTAAATACTAAAATCAATGGAAAAAGATTTAACGGAAACAGAAAAAGAATTCTTTACAGCTCTTCCAAGTAACTCAGCTCTCTCTTGAGCCTCTTGTATTCGCCGCTTATTATAAAGATCATACTTATTCAAACTGTCTTTCAAAGAGTCAGCCTCTTCAGCCACTTGTTCGACTTTTCTGCATGACAGTGTGACTATCTAGCTTCAGAAAATTGTTAAAAAGCACTCAGCTCACATCTTTCGGTGGGGGTGGGCTCTCAGAAAGCCTAGAACAGATAACCTATGCAATTACAAGGTTTTCCCTTTGAATGGTTTCATGATTTCATACAAAATGAAATGAATATCAAAGTACTCATGCAGCAGCATATAGAAATATAGAATGGAAGGGCGGTGGAGTGAACATTTGACAAAGAATGAAAGCAAAGGATTACAATATTTGATGACCAAATAACATGATTCAGCAGCAACTACAGAAGTGTTTATCCATAATTTTTGTGCATGAGAATAAATGAAGCTGCTAAAACTAGAATAAGAACATAACCATCAATTTTAATCATCAAACTGATGGATAAGTAAGCTCCTTTGGGTAATCATAATCAGCTTGTTCTGTTTGTAACTAGATTAAGCCATTTCAACCAAATAATCCTAGTGAAATGGGTTTTACAAGTCTCGGTTGAGATGCTAAAAAACAGTTAACAAACTTCACCCTACCAAAAAGATGGCCATCTCTCTCCATTAGTCAGGTGTCAACCATTTTTAGATTACATCAAGATGGACCAGCATATGGACTGAAGAAGCAAACCCTGAATCCACGATTAATAAAAATATTACCTAAACACTTGCAACCTTAATTTCCCATCCTAACTATTTCACAAACTAGCGAATTTGAGACCAACACTGAAGAGCATGTTAGTGAAGCGCATCCCACAGTTCTTTCTCAACACAACATTAGGAATGATATTTTCAATAGTGCTCAAGCTTACATTCTCTTCCAGTTGAAAACCCCAAATCATCTTGTTATATACTCCTTGTGATTTTGCAACACTGATAAAGAATTTGAACCGTGCATTATTTTACAAGCCTAAAGGCTAATAGTTCCGTTATATCAAACTTACTTTTCTCAAATTTTGTAGTTTTTGGTTTTAAAATTTGTGATCTAGCCTTCGTTCATAGATGAATGCAATAATTTGATACTACGTATAACACATATGTCCTCCAAAAATGACGAAGCAAATGAACTGCAACTTAGCACGCAAATTGAAGAAAAAACAGGAATAAGAGATCAGGACCTTTTCCAAAGATCACGTTGAGACTTGGCATGTACGGAACGCCAAAGGCGATCCATCTCGGAACATAGCGACTGGATCTGAGTGATGTCCTTCCTGACAGAGTCGAACAAATTTCTGGAAGAGTCTATGGCCAATGACGAGGCGCTCGAGGACGATGAGGACGCGGTGGAGGAAGAGGTGTACTGACACCGCTCCAGCTTCTCTAATCCATCTCTAGTCTTCAGCAATAGCCGCCGCGAACTCTGGTACAGTTCCGACAGAGTCCCGCCCCCAACAGTGACGCCAGAATGTCCAAAGTCGACGGCCATCGCCATAATTGATCAACTGGTGTTGTAGCCGATCTATTGCCACGAAGTTTTCCTATAATTTCAAAAAATTAAAAAGTATGCAACCAATTCTGTAAGGTTGAACCAGATTCACAACAACAAATACGGGTAAGCTTACCCATATGCATAAGAAGGTGTAATTTTTATTCAAAAATATATTTGTACTCTTTTTCTTAAATAAAGAAGGAATATCTACTTATGCATAAATAATTTGTTTATTTGTAAACATCTCACTTTCGTTTTCGATCGGCCCTTAAAATGTCCAATTTACTTATTTGATAAACTAAACAGCGCGAAATAATGTCAAACAATATCAAAGAGTGTCAACCAATGCGACGGTGTCTAACAATTTCACTTTCTTAAATTTATGAAAATCAAACGGGGCCTTTAAATTAGGACCGAGGGAGTATAATTGAATGTGTTGTCTCAGAAGAGTGTGAATTTGTCTCGGGTTTGCATATGGAATGAGTATCAAATTGTAAACAAATTCGTCAGTTTTAGAAGTTGAGGCATATTGAATATAGATATATAAGCGTTTAAAAGTTTACGTATATTCATACTCTCACTCATTCTTATAAAATTACCAAGTATAAAGCATGAATTGTTGTGACTTTAACTCGATCATCATTACATACACAAATTCCCTATCCCTTCTTCAAGATATTTTCAATAACGTTTTTATCTTCTATTCATCACAAGTACACATGAACTCGGTTCTAGAATTGAATAAAGATTGTTTAATCAGATCTGGAATAGGCCAATTGATTCTAGATGGTATTGAATCGAGCTTACAAGAACGTGCGATTTCATTATGCACTTATGTGGGGTTTACAAAATAAAATATGGGTTTTAATAATTTTACAATACAATATGAACAAGGAGACTATACATTAGTACTAATATATATACAGCCCGTTTGGTAACACTAAAATTGACTGAATTGGGTGATTCTGTTGAAATTTATGAAGTTCCGGCTGAAGTGGCTGTATTGGCTGATTCTGCTGATTCATGAAAAAAAATATTTAAAATATTTGTTATCAATAAATTAAACAAAAAATAATATGAAAAAATAGCTAAAATAATCCTCTACAGTAACTTCAGCCAAAATAGCCAGAAAAGTAACTCAAACCTTATTTTTTCTGCTTATTACAAATTTCAGCGCGCGAAATCAAAAATTACGTGTTTGATAAAAAAGTTTGCTGATAAGTCTGATAAGCCGAAAAAAAGGATCACCAAACGGACTCATAATAAATTTAGATAACAATAAAAATGAAATCGGGTCTGCATCATCTGGGTAAATATACAGACATGTACCGCTCTGATTGCGGTATTACCCCTTGACTTGTTCTTGCAAAGCTCTCTCTATTACTTGATAAATTGCGTTTGTTTCAATTGAGATTTTATTTTTTATTATCATGGTGTAATAATGTGTTTGCTCCAGGGTTGCTTCATTTTGGAAAAAATCTACCTAATTTACTAAAAAGAATAGTAAGATATCAAAGATTAAGTTATCGATTTTTTTCAAAAAGCACGATTGCTCAAAAAATATTAGAAAAATAAAATAATTATAGTCCCGCATACTACATTTGAAAGACATCTTCTACTCAACAAAACATTATCATGCACTTTTATTTTACTACGTAGTATTTATTTTTTTAAAATCTTAGAGATGGTATATTATACCTGTTTCACATGAGAAAAATTATACTCCCTCCGTCCCTAAAAGGATTGCCAAGTTTGATCGGCACGTAGAATTACTCCCTCCGTTCCTAAATAAACTTCCAACTTTCCTTTTTCGTCCGTTCCAATTAAAACTTCCACTTTCTATATTAGGAAATGTTTTTTACCTAAAATTACCTCACTACCCTCGTAATTAATACTCCACCCCACCAAGTCATCCCACTTACTCCGGAGTATTACTCTATATACCCACCCACATTTGCTTCGCCCTTTCATTACTCCTTCCATATTCTCGCACCTTCCACTCTCCACACTCTCTGTCGTTTCGTTACTCCTTCCATCCTCATCTGGAAAAGTCTCCTCCATCTCCTCCATCTGTAGTCATCCCATCCATTCAATCTTCAAAGCCTTCCATTAATGGCTGTAAATTCCTTGGTTATGAACATGCATGGTGATTTTAATGGTGTGGTGGTTGAGGACTCAGAGGATTCATCCGGATGGGACGAATTCGTCCCAGATGCTGAGATCTTGGCTGTAAATTCCTCACTTTTGAACATGCATGGTGATTTTAATGGTGTGGTGGTTGAGGACTCGGAGGATGAATCAAGATGGGCCGATTTCGTCCCAGATGTTGAGATCTTGTCCGTCTGCGTCCCTGAGGCCGAGATCTTACCCGGCTTCGTCCCTGAGGCTGAGATCTTGCCCGTCTGCGTCCCTGAGGCTGAGATCTTGCCCAGCTTCGTCCCTGAGGCTGAGATCTTGCCGTCTACGTCCCTGAGGCTGAGATCTTGGACCGAAGAGGTCAATCCTCCATTGACGATATCGTATCCATCTACCTTCGGCCAGTGGATACAACGAATGTGGGGTATCTTCTACCTGCGAGTGCACATGCTGACCCGGACCCTAAAGTTCAGGAAAGATTGGATAAACTGGTTTCAATATGGCTGCCTACGCCCAAAAAATCAAGGTCATAAGTTCCACTTTTAGCTTTGTGTTGCCTATATGTTGCATATGTAAGAAATGGTGCTTGTGATTTTTTGCCCTAACTGATTGCCTATGATGTTTATGTCCTAACTGATTCAGTTTCAATCTATGTTGCCTATATGCCTCTCTGCCTATATGAACATGTAATTACTGATTGTCTATGATGGTTATGCCCTAACTGATTCATACTCAATCTATGATGCCTATATGCCTCTCTGCCTAATTCATGTTGACCAAACTACCTCTCTGCCTATATGATGTTATGCCCTTACTGATTGGCTAATGGGGATGTGGTTTAGCAGTTGACTGATTGGGTGGGGTAATCTATGTTGCCTATATGCCTGAATGAGTGCTTGGGTATTGCTTGAATATGTAATTACTGATTGCCTATGATGGTTATGCCTTAATTGATTCATACTCAATCTATGATGCCTATATGCCTCTCTGACCTAATTCATGTTGACCAAACTACCTCTCTGCCTATATGATGTTATGCCTTAATTGATTGGCTAATGGGGATGTGGTTTAGCAGTTGACTGATTGGGTGGGATAATCTTGTTGCCTATATGCCTGAATGAGTGCTTGGGTATTGCTTGAATATGTAATTACTGATTGCTTCATCATATGCCTTGGTCACTGCTGCTACTAACTCTGAAACTGTAGAACTTCGATTGGCCTGTTGTAAGCACTCAACTGACCTAAAAAAACCTAGGTCCAGAATATTTAGATCAGGACTATTGGGTGGTTGGCATGCTAGTTTTATGTTAAAACCTTCAGTAGTAGCCTCTGCAATGAATTCACTGTCATTAAGTTGTATGTGTGGTTTGGCATTGTCTTGTTGGATAAAAATATGACCAGATGCATCAATTGGCCACTTGGCTTTGATGGCAGGGAGCACCTTTCTGAGTAAACTTTCTCTATAGACTTCTTTAGTCACACTGTCTATTGCCTTTTCCTCTATTGTACCTTGTGCTCTATTTTTGCTATTCCTTTTAGCTGGCCGGAATTCAGTGAATGGGAAAATACCTATTTTCCCATCAAATAACACTTCAGAATCCGGAGAAAATCTAGGCCTAGCAACAGCACAGAGAAACATCACTTTTGTGATGTGATGGAGTATATGGGTCTAGGCCCCAGGACCCACATACTCAGAAGAACAGAAAGTACAAGCCACTACGTAGTGCCCTCGTCGGCCAAAGGACCCTCGTCGGCCGAAGAGGGACTGACTCAGAATATGATCCTGAAGCCAGGGAACCAGGATTCCCTCGTCGGCCATGCCCTCATCGGCCATGCCCTCATCGGCCAGGAAGAAGGCCACCCGGAACATGATCCAGAAGTCAGGAGAACCGGGTGACCTCGTCGGCCATGCCCTCGTCGGCCAGGAAAAGGTCTACTCAGAATATGATCCAGAAGCCCGGAGAACCGGGTGACCTCATCGGCCATGCCCTCATCGGCCATGCCCTCATCGGCCATGCCCTCATCGGCCATGCCCTCATCGGCCATGCCCTCGTCGGCCACGGGAGACTCACAGAACCGGATTTTACACTTACTCATTTGTACAGCCCATTAGTGGCTTTGTAGTCGGCCCAGTAGCGGTCCAGTTGTAAATGGGCCTCCCAAGCCCAAGACTTGGGAGCCCAGTCCTAATTTTCTCTATAAATACTCCCCTTGGGAGTAGTTGTAAGGGTTCAGAATTCACTAATACAAAGCAAATATACTACTTCTCTCTCTAGCTCTCACTTCTCTCTAGAATCTAGGAGTTAATACTCCATCATTTGGTGCTCTCGTTGAGAGCTAGAACAATCAAGTTAGCCTCCTCCGTCGCTACCAAGCACAGCTAACTGACTATGGGAAGAACACGGTCAAACCGTAACCTCATCAGCAAAGCCATCCCTGAGGCCCAAGAGCATCAGGAACACGAGGAGGACGCAATGGCCGACAAGGCCGCCGAGGGAGATGTCTTCCAGGAAGCCATCGGCCTCACCACTGACCTGCGCACCAAACTTAACGGCGTCGCCCCAGACGCCCGCATCAGCTTGGACAAGAAGCGCGCAGAAAAGGGTGACAGCGTCTCTGGGCAACCGGCTTCTCCTGTCGTTGACCCTCAGCTCCAAGCCGCTCTCGGCCATCATCGCCAGCCTGGCCCAGAACCCCACCGTCCTCAGCGCACTCATGCCAAGGACTGGGGAGAACACTACACCACCTCCTCAGCCCCAACCGTTGGCCATCAAGCTGGGCAACGACGAAGGGGTGGTGCCCCAGGACACGTCGTCATCCCACTCCCACCCTGCTTCCCCACTTCGAGCTAGACCGGCCCCAGCGCGTGGAAAAGCCTCAGCCTTTAATAGGCTAGGTGACACGCGTCGTCGGCCTGCTTCGGAGAGGATGGCGGGACGAATTGGTGAACGTGAGCTTGGCTCACCAAGGGAAAGCTTGGGGTCCGTATCCCGAACA